ATATCTGCGGTTCGCATTCGCAAACGGTGCCTTGATTTCTGGTTCCTCCTGCTCCGTGAAAGCTTCGCTAGTGCGACGTCTTTGAACAAGACTAGCAAATAGTCACGTCTGTAGCGGCGGTAGAGTAGGATTTACTAGCGGTGTTACATAGGTATCGTCATATCCGTCATCATATACCCCTGCAGCGGCATGGACAGACAACACGCGGGGTTGATCGCGTGTCCGAGGTCGGCGCATGGCAGTCAAACCAGTTGTATAGATGCAAGCGATGGGAAAATGGCAAACTGCCGCATGAACCCACTGCATGGCGTGATTCTCATCACAATGATGTACATGAAGTGGGATGTTCTGATGCCTATTGCAGCGATCTGCACGCCCGTTGCGCGCGTGATGTTCCGGCTTGCCTTATTTGCAAGTCGAACGGGCTGCTATTGGCGTGGTTGGGTTAAGCTTCACGCCGGCACACTGCAGAGGGCGGAAGAGGGTCATGGATGTGCAGGCGGAAGGCTTGCGCGCTATGCTCGCCTCGAGGGAACACAGATAGATAAAAATGCTCCGAACAATTTGGGATGCTGACAGTGCACCGCTTGACCCGGTATAGCAATGCTCAGTAAGGTGTGGCGTAACACGTCGCATGAGCATTGCTGTGCAGCCGCTGTAAAGATTCATGCAGCGAAGGGGCAGGCACGCTCTATCCGCGTACCTAGGAAGCAGACAATGGGTGACGGCGGCGTGAGTAATAGCGTCGGCGGGGTTTGCCCGCTGCAGAGACTTCAGGCATGCGGTGAACAGACAAAGCGCGGGTTCATTCGCCCTGGAGCTTGCTATGGCTCAGGGGGGTCCTGGTGCACGCAAATGAGCAGGTAAGCTAAAGAAGCCGGCGCAGGCTAATTGGCTGCCTTGGAAGACGTGTTTGTCTGGCGATGCAGCTGTGCGATATGGCAGAGGCAGCAGACGGAGGGACTATGTAGATGAGGGCGAGACGAGGTGCCAGACAGGCGAGATCACTGCCGGAGAGGGACAGGCGATACTTGGCTTCCCCGGTAGAGTGAAATGACGGCCCTGTTGTCGTGGTCAAGATCGGCATCATGAACTGGAATCGGACACAGCTCGGCTGATCTGCGTGGCAGCAGCATCAAGATATGCTGCCCGCGTGGTTGTGATGAGGGCGGTACAAGCCGGACACATGGAATTTTGCCGCGGATAGGCAGCGTGTCGAGGGCGTCGTGGTTGCATGTGCAGGGCGGTCGTGGTGAACCACGGGTCGGCAGCGCTGGAGACGTGGAACCTCGGAGTCGACAGGCAAATCAGCCGTCAGGTGCATCGTGGCTTGTCAGTGCTCTGGTCACAGCGTGGCCCACTCGCGCAGAGGCTTGGGCGGTCGGGTTTTCTTGGTTGACTTTGCATTTGACGTTTAGCACTTGCAAGTCTTGGCACAAGCCCATCCGGCGGAAGGCACGACTGAGCAGGCGCAGGGCACCTTCCTCGCTCCCTACACGTCTTGCCCAGCACACGACACCCCCCCAGACTCCCCCACCGAGCAGCGGCTCAACATCTTCCAGTCCTGGCTCGTCCTGTGCAGCAGTCGAGTCGCGCCAGGGAGAGGTTTGCCCGCTCGCACCCGCACCGCCGTCTATGGTAGCGAAGTCGAAGAGGAACGCGGCGCACGACAAGCGACACGAGAATGGCCTTGCGGCCCCCGGCAAGAAAATCACAAAGCAGAAGAGCATCCCGCAGCTCAATGGCCACGCCAACGGGAAGCCCAGCGAGCCCTCGCCGCCGCTGCCCAGCCATGTAGACACGACCGAGATGACGCAGCACGCCAGCGCCCACGATCCAGCTCCGGGGTCGAGCGCCCACGCCAACACCACGGCCGCTGCTGCGTCGGCCGCATCAGGGCACCGCACGCGCGCTGGCTCGGAGGCCTCGCTCGACAACACCCCCGAGGCCTGCCGCTCGTACGACAATGGCAGCGCCGGCGGGCCCTTTGATCCCATGCCCTCGACTCTCCGCCGCGCCGACACCAATGCCTCCAAGTCGGCGTCTATCTCCATGGCCAGCATGCTCGCCGTGCCCGCCACCATTCTCACGTCCTGTCCGCTGCGGGACGTCCTCGCCATCCTCATCATCCTGCTCCAGCTGCCCCCCACCGTCCTCACCGTCGTCCAGTTCCTGTTCGCAACGCTTACTTTTGTCCCGCCCCAGGCCGGCACGCCCCTCTCCGCCCTCTCCGCCTTCCCCTCCTTCACCGACATCTTCCAGGGCTCCGGCGGCACGCCCTCGCTCTTCACCACAATCATCGCCGACACCGTCATCCTGCTCGTATGGCTGCTGCTGTGGGTGCCTGCCCAAAACTTCTTCCTCGACCTCGCACAGGCCGTCATAGCCATAGCGCTCGGCGGTGCCGCAGCCGGCAAGAAGGGCACGACCAACAGCATCGTCATATGCTTCGTCATCATTCTTTCGAGCCACGTCTTCAGATTCAGGCCTCTCCGGCAACACATCGTCCACTTCCTGTGGACGGGGCTCGCCCGGGGAGGCCTTGAATTCTTGACGAGCCCCCCGAGTACGCCGACCTATTTGGAAAGCTTCTCGACCCCCCATGGATGGCCTCGTAGCCTCCTGGGCATTCATATTTTGGCCCAAGGTGTCGTTCGTATCATCCGACGCTCTCTCTCTCGACGAGAACAATCAACCTTACCCACCGGCAAGAAGACAGATCCAGAGTCTGGCACGCTGCAACGCTCCAACTCCACGAACCTCGATCCCACTGCCGACGTGCCCAACTCCTCGAGCACCGATGGCCGCCCCCCGGGGCCGTCGCCTGCAGCACACGCAATCAAGGATAAAGCGAGTAGTGGGAGGAGGAAGAGGAAGCAAGCTACTCATGTTCGTAGTCAGCAGCCATTCTGGGCTGCACTTGCCAGTACAAAAGTTACAGTTTTAAAAGAGATGGAGAGTAGCCGGGCGGCCAACGATGCCGACGAGGCTAACGCAAAAGACGCAAATCACATTGGAAACGCTGTTTGGAGATCGGAGGACGATCGTGTTTGGATTTCAGAAGTCGGCTTTTCCGACATTTCATTTCGTGTTAGTTTATCTGGTGGAGCTGGCCTTCAAGAGCAGGACGACGAAGATTCCAGCGTCGGGTCTGGGATAGACAAGTCGAAGCCCTTCTACATCCGCGTCAACGGCGCGGACTGGAGCTCAACCCGCATCCGACAGAGCGAGCCGATCGGATTCCAGGGACAAGAGGGAACGGGCTACTGGGTAGGAGAAATATTTGGTCTAACGGCTCTCTCGAACTATTATTGCGAGTTTGTTCGGACCAACGACAACCAAGTCTTCTACTCAGCGAGTCTTATTACCTCGGCCAGCCCGGTAACCGAACTTGGTAAGCAGAACATCTTGTGTAGCCTTACCTTGCTAATGCGTGACAGCTTCAGCTTCTATTGCCTCCCCGCCAGCCCATCAGACCCTACGACCTTCTTCGCCAACAACCACGTTGAAGAACTCTATTGCCGCAGCCGACCAGCAACTACAGGAACAGCGCAATCGATTGAAGCGAAACAAGAAAGACCACAAGACAGCCATTACCAACATCAAGAAAGAGGTAGACACGCTCGGCAACCGCCTTGCCAACGCCGGAGGTAGTGATGAGCGCCAACGCCAGCGCGTCCTTCAATTCACGCAGAACATCCGCCAAGCTGACGATGCTGCCGCCGAGTTTTCCCTTCAAGCAGAAAATCTGGGAAGCATTCCCGAAGATGAGGCGAAGGAGGCTGCAGCCAAGAAGGCAGAGTGGAAGAAGGAGCGTGACAACAAGAATGCTGTTGCTTGTGAATTCGACAAGACCAAGGAGGAGATCGAGCGACAAGTGCAAAGTGTGGAGTCCGATATTTCTACTGCCTTCCAGAAGAGGGAGCGCCTTCAGCAGCGTCAAACCAGGCTCAACGAGCAGCACGATCGTCTCGTTACTGCCAACGCTGAAGGTTTCACCGCCAAGCAACGAAGGGAGCAAGAACGCGCAGCATTACGAGCACAGCGCGCTGAAGTCGAGCACCAGTATCGGAGCAACATCAATGGTTACGAAAGACGCACTGAGGAGCAGAACATGTCAACCAGCCAAATCCTGCAGACTGTTCAGCAGTACGAAGAGCTCCTCCTCCAGCAAGCGCACCAGCACATGTCTGTTCCCACCACACCAGAAGGCAATCTCCCAGGCACGAACATGTCGCCTCACGGCAATGGTTTCTCCAGCTTCACGTTCCCGTCAATGCACTCGCACATGAACGGCACTCCCGGTTCCATGCGTGGAGGTCGCGGTCGTTCCTCGTCGATGCTCTCCAACGTATCCGGATTCACCGACGCTTTCGACGAGCCCGCGTCTTCAGGCACTTATGTCCTCGGTAACCCCTTCAGCACTCCAGGTCCGATCAATGGCCGCAATCGCAGTCACGGTAGTGGCAGCCTCAGCTCAGGAACCTCCAGTCAGAGTTCGAGCCAACGAGACCCATTGAGCCCAGTCCAGAGTATTAAGCCGATGATGGTGCGGAGTCCTACTAGTGGTAGTGGTAGTGGTAACAGTCTGATGAGTCCGATTGGCACTGGCAGATGAAACCGTACACGATTTGATCTTTACGTATCTTTAGGTAGTGTTCCAATGTGATATTCGCGTCCTTTTCGTGTTCTCAATATAGTTCTCGCTTTGCTCCAATTGAAGTGATTTGCGTGTGAATGAACAACTTCATGACATGATGCTCACGGATCGTAAGGAATCATAAACTACCTTTGATACCTACGTAGAGACACAGGTGTATGTACTAAGACGTGAAAAGGTAAGTAACGACTACACCGCAGGATACGGTCTTTATTTGCTCAGTGGAAGGTACACGAAGACTATCCCGCTGCCTTATGCTGACATACAAAACGCCCCCAAACATGCTGTAGTCCCCAAACCTCCCCAACTCACCCCTCAAGTGCGTTGACGCGTTGAATGTCTACACCTCCTCGATGATGGTCGACAACCTTGGACTCCGGCCGGTCTGCTCCAGGTCTTCGCTGGCATCGTCCAGTCTGCCGCCGGCTCCTTCAGCGCCACGCCTGACGTCCATATTGTCACCCCGTCACCCCGATGCTCATGCTCGACTTCTTCTTCACCCTCCTGCCCTCTTTCGCTTACACCCGCAATGTTGGGAATGCTTTCATGTTTCGTCTTCCAGTTACCTGTCTGCATGCAGACACCTATTCCCGACCACGCCATCAGTCAACCATACCTTCATTTTTCTTGCTCCAACCATAAAATCCAAAAATGAAGACAGGAAGATAAAGTAGCACAGAAGTAAGAAAAGATATGAACTTACTAATAACTCCACCCATCCCCTTCCTCAAGTCTTCCAACAGGCAATTCGCCCCAGTGATGATGTCGGGCTGATCCTCCACATGGCTGATGAGTGTCCATGATGTGAATGGCGAACTTGAAGGGCCAGTGTAGAGAATCAAAGCCACGCCGTAGGTCGGCCCTATTCTCTCTTCACCATCGTTGTTGCTGCTGGTGCTGGCAGTGTTGAAGGTGCTTCTGCTATCGTTGCTACTGCCACCATCATTGGTGGTCATGCTGTAGGTGACTACATCGTAGACCTTTGATGCGTCTTCTGATCTTGTGCCGTAAAGAGGCGTTGCAAGACTGATGATTTGTGTCTTGATGGCAGTAAACAGTCGCTGCTCGAGCAGTTGTGCGGCGTGTGTTGACATTGTCTTGTCTGTTGAAGTTTGTGTTGGATTGATTAGAGGAGATTGAGGTTGTGTCTGTTGGCTTGGTCTTGGAGTTGAAATCGTAGTGGTGAGCGTTCGCGAAGGCGAGTGACCAAAGTGAAGGTGAATGTCGGAGATAGACATTATCGCTGTACCAACGTGTGTATCGTAAGTCACCTCGAAAACAGAAGAAATTCATGACAGAGCTCTTGTATTTGCTCTTGTTTGCTCATTCATCTACAGCCAAACAAGTACGATGCATCTACAAACCATCGTTTGACTGAGTCCCCAACCTTCCACCGTCACTCAGTCTCAAATCCATCACTCATCCACACAAATTGCTCCGCTGCCCAGAATTCCAGCGCCGCATCGCCTCTTTGATCTGTGTATCAGTCCAAGGTCCGTACCTCTTGTGATCTCCGTGTGGTAGATATCCCGCCTGATGACTCTCACCCACCCTACTTGCTGCACCCTCCAAAGCCATGATCCACCAAAAGCCCCCTTCTGCCATCCTGCTTCCGTATAGCTTCCATAGCCCAGGCATATGAACCACATCCTGCACACAGTAATCCTTTATTGCTTGAGTCAGCGGCCTCTCTTCAAAGACCGCATACCTGCCACCTCGTTCCGGAGCGAAGAGCCTGACACCAGCCTCTTTGATGGCGCTGCAGACTTGCCTCTGCATCGGCGTTATGTTGAGGCGTGAGGCGTTGTAGTCGATGGCTTTGCCCAAGCCCAGAAGGTGTTCACGGGAACCGCGTGTAGTAGTTGCTAGCTCCATGAGTTGAATGTCGTGGATGCAGGAGAAGGAGATGGCGTAGTGGGAGAAGAGGGCGTCGGAGTCGTTGCGTACGTCGAAGAAGACCTTGGGGATTGCTGGTGATTCCAAGATAGACTTCAGGGTTGTGGGAGGCTTTCCGGCGTCTTCAGTGAGGTTTGTTGTGCTGGGCGTAGTATCAAGAGGCGCAGTCACGCTTGCTGTTCCTGCGATGGCAGGTGTTGAGAATGCGCGAGCGCCTAGAGTATGGATGTCGATGAGATACACAGTCTCCTTGGGGAGTACATACAGGGTTAGTAGTGCGATCGAACCATTCCTGCTGAGCTTCGCGCCTTCCAGATCGATGTACAGACTTGGTGGGGATACTGGCAGGTCGTCGAACGATGCTAGCACGGCAGAGAGCTCTTCTGGAGTTGATATGAATACGACTGGAGGCATGATCGTAATTTGTTGGTACTGTATGTGGTTGTTGTAATATCCAAGGAATGCTGTACATTTATATCAGACAGAGAGTGATTGTTTAATGATTCTGGACACGACGATTACGGAAAAGAAGAGGCGAGTAGGTGCAGGCCATGAAAGACTTATAAAGAAGGCAGCAGATCGTGCTTTCCGATCGGCAGGCTGCACCTAGTATTGCCTGAGTGTCCCTTCTGTAATGTGGTTCGACAAGATATACCGTCGTGTAAGCTGTGCTAGCCTTTGCAGAAACCGGTGAACTTCCTGCATATCTCAACGAAACAAGGTGCCACGAAACCCAATAATTGCTGAGGCAGAAGTCCCAGCTCTATCGATTCAGCCTTGCTCCACATTCCATTGGATTATGGCAGTCGATATGCAAGTGACAGAAGCCCGTTATGGAAAAGATCCTCTGAATCGTTCTCACCAGGGAAGGCCAGCTCATGTTGTGTTAGAACCTATATTATCATTTGAATGCATTACATGTCCTGAAGTGGTGGCGCTTGGGCAATCTGGAGGAGGGGAAGCGAGGAATGCAGACAAGCCAATGAGATCCAGACCAATAGTGTGACGCAGTCGCAAATGGAGGTAGAACACCAGGCGAATGGATAATGCACTCGCTACTGGCTCTAGATATATGCGCATAATTTATATGTAACGTCCCTGGGGATCAAACTTGTCCATGAGCTCCATGGACTTTTCGTACATGGTGAAGACGATGCCACCACTGAGGATCAGCCGACCCAACCTTGGAAGTGCTCCTGACCAGAAGGTGAAGAGCCCCTCGTCTCTGAAGATCTTGGCTACACAGTCGAAGCTGTTCTTGTATGAGCTCCGTGCTTCTATTGACTGCATGCGTGTCTTGACTGTGTCGATAGGCATCGTAGTGTAGACGGTTATTATGCCTGCGAGTCCTCCGAGTCCGAATGTGCTGAAGGCACCGAGCTTCTCTCCTGGGGTGACGTATGACTGTGCTAGCTGCTTGAGCGACGTGTAACTGGAGAAGCGAACGGCCGAGTTAGCTGCTTGACGTGCAGTCGTTGGGAGGAAACCTTGGAAGAAGCCGCGAATGCCCTTTTCTTGTGCGATTATTCTTGATCCGTGCAGGAAGCCTCGCATGCGTGGGTTTGCCGACTTGCGGTCGTCAATACTAGGCGGATGAGTCAGTGAAGGTACATGAATGCGACCAAGGCTGCTTACAGTTGGGTTTTGATACTCTCGAACGGAGTTACAGCTAATAGCGACTCTGTAGCTCCTGCACCGAAACCAGCTATGACTGTCGCTGGACCGGAGACTTTGCCTCCAGCGTCTGCCAGCATATTCCTGTACATGTCGAATGCGACAAACCCTGCGTGGAGTGTCAGACAGTCGCCTTCCCATTATTTCCATGACGTACTTATGCCCGCCTTCAGAGAGTTGCCGATGATCAAGGTTGTGCATCCGGCGTACCACTGCTTGCCGAACGGCGGCCATGGCAGCTTCTTTCCGTCAGGTAATCTCCGGTTGAGTTGGGATCGTGTCTTTGCGACTATGTTGGGGTCAGGTTCGACTTGGTCAGGTAAGCGGATACGATGCGGTGCGTACACTCAGCGGGGTATGTGATTGCTGGTCCAGGGTCAGTCATGAATCAGATCACGATCCGGGCGCATGCTTTACAAATCTCTACGGCACCTGCAGTTGCACCTGCCAGGATTGAGCGCATTGCGCTTGGCTTCTTCTTCTCGGTCGTTGCGGTCGCCATGACGTTTCAAGTCGAGCAGCCTCCGGTGGTGATAGGAGTAGGTTTGTACGCGCAGCAATTACGCGGGAAAGTTTTGGCGTGTCTACGTCGCGTGCGGTAGTAGGAATTCGGCGCAGTGACGTAGTATTGGTCTTGCACTCGAAACCAATGTAGATTCTTTGAGAAACAACAGGAACCACAGTTTGAGGAATCTCGACGCGCCAATGTGAACTAGATTTCCCCAGGTTCACAAAATACTGAATCTATCAAGACAGCCGAGGACGGAGGTGAGCAACGGGCCCGCATTTCGGCGCCAAGCATCCCGCTTGACATCAGCCCGCCTGCGCTTGGGCCATCGAAAAGTTACGCTTTCGAGAGCCATCTATCGCATCGCCATCTTGAAGTTCCATTCCAGTCACACGTTTAGTCCACCATGATGTCCCTACGCAACCTCGCCCGCAGCGCCCCGCGGTCTGCTGCTCGTTTCTCCACCAAAGCCGTCCGCCCGCAGTCGTCGCTGCGACAGACGTCAGCTTTCCAGCCAGCATGGGCTGCCCCAATTCCCCGCCTCACGGCTTCTTTCCACATGTCAGCGGCGCGGAGGCAAGACAGCGGTAGTACGTATAGGATACATTGCAGTGAGAGAACACGGCTAACGCGATTTAGTCAATGAAGAGCTCGTCGCAAAGATCCAGAGCGAGATCTCCATGGAGGAGGGCATGAAGGAGGACGAGGATCTCTCTGCCAACATCAAGGAGTACCTTGAGAACAGCCCTTTCGAGGTAAGATCCTACATCACCATTGCTACTGGCCGAATGCTAACAGCCATTAGATTGAGGACAAGGCAGGCAACCAGGAAGTCGTCCTTACCCGCACATACAACGACGAGAAGATCCGAATCACCTTCACCACCGCCGACCTCAACAACAACCAGCCCAGCGATGAGCTTACCGAGGACAATGCCATGTACGACGATGCCGACATGGATGTGCAGTCTGGCGGCGCCAACACCAAGGGTGCCATCAACCAAGGCACTACACAAGACGGAAACATTCGCGTAGCTCCCGAGGACCGTGTTGCTCCCGCTGATCGCGAGGAACTTGAGGACGACTACGAGGACGATGGCCAACAGCAGGGCTTCCCCGCTCACGCCAGCATTCGCATCGAGCGTCCCGGCAAGGGTGCTCTCGCTATCGAGGCCACCGCCCAGGACGGCGACTTCCTCATCGAGGACCTCTACTACTTCCCTACTGCCGATCTGGCTGACCCCGCCACTGCCGAGAAGGACTGGTCAAGACGCGCCCTCTACACTGTATGTGCAAAGTCTCCATGTAAATCGTAACAAAGCTAACTTCTAGCAGGGCCCCCCTTTCAACAACCTAGACGAGGACCTCCAGATTCTCCTTGAGAAGTACCTCGAGGAGCGTGGCATCAACACCCGTCTTGCCCTGTTCATCCCCGACTACATTGACCACAAGGAGCAGAAGGAGTACATTCAGTGGCTCAACAGTAAGTTGCGCTTACATTTCTCATTTTCAGTGTCAGGAGCTAACAGACCATTAGACATCAAGAACTTCGTTGCCTAAGCTCAAACCGAATCGAACAGCATCGTCAACGTCTGAAACCCGACTCAGACAAGACAAAACGACGCTTTGCCGGTGCTTTCACGAAGTCATAAAAGTCTCTCATGTATAAACATATCACGCATCTCAATAGTTGAGCTACTCAGGGCGTCAGCGGAAGTGTAAAATAGTTGGTGAGATTGTCCCTCATACATCGTTCTCTGACACGTGCAACACTATCTTGCAAGCAATCATCAGATCGCGAAAGGAACGATCGAAGTACTAGGCAGCTCGAGGCACCACATATCGGTTGTCTCGGTCCTTAATCTACGAGAACCACGACTTAGGTATCATCGAATGCCAAACAAACGCATATAGCGCTTTTCCACTCATCACTTTCCGATTTGTCTCTTCTGTCTGATGGCTTATCGTGTCGTTTGATCGTGTTGTCGCATTCCAAAGGTCCGTCTCGAGACAAAGACCCGCTTGCGGCGCGGCGTTTGCTGGGCCAACAACAAAGCCACCATTCGTCATCCGCGCATGCACACAAGGTAATTGTTCACTCAACGAAGTTCCGCAAAGAAGTTTGTTCGTTGTCACTGCCGGTGCAGTCAAGGATACATTTCGAAACAACGTTTCGTGACTCTGAATGACGGTCTGCCTGTGATGACTGTGTCCCCTCTTCAAGGCTCAAGGCTACTGCTGTCCACACCAAATCTCCGCTGCATTCCTCCAACTTTAATCAGAGTGTTGATCGATACTAGCTTGCGCGTTTGACGCACCACGATCGATAATCTTGCAAGGGAGTAGGGTCTCGCACGACTGACTCACAAGCCATGACGCGCAATACCAGCCCACGCAGTGTTGGTAACGACCCCAGTCGCATTCCATTTCCAAACCTCCCACCGCCATACACATTCAGAGGCAGTCGGCCTACACAACGAGGCAACTCAAGTTCGTACCTGACCAGAGCGAACGTTTCCGACTTCACGACTACCAGCACAATCCTTGTCGGCCCTCAACTCACGCCTTTCCAGATCCAAACCAGTCTCCTCACATCAAAATCTTCCTACTTCCGTGCCGCGCTCACAGGACGCTTCGCGGAATCTAGCAATAACAGCATAACACTCGACGATGTCGCAGTCGACGACTTTCAACTCCTCGTCACCTGGCTCTACGAGCAAGCAGTACCAATCCCCTACAAAGACCGAAAACCAGCATACTACACCCTCCTACACGTCTACGCTCTAGCCGACAGACTAGGACTCGAAGGCGCAAGAAACGCCATCATAGATACAATAAGCGACCTTGCCGACGAAACGAACAGCGTGCTAACACCCTCCGATACACGTATCCTATACGAAGACATCCGCGAATCGGCGCCTATCCGTACGCTCGTGCTAGATCTCTTTGCTTTCAAGAAGACAGATCGATTGCTGGAATTGCATGCGGGACAGTGGCATGCAGAGTTCCTCCGCGATCTGACTGTACATCTGAAAAGACCGTGTGCGCAGGCTATGCAGCGGCATAGATTGCGCATGTGGTGTCCCATGTCCTGGCACACGACACGCGGATGTGACTACTGTGGAGTTGTACTACTGCCTAGGTGTGGAGCGGTGGCTTGTGACGATTGCTGTGTGGCGTTTTGTACGGCTTGTGTTCAGGGAGGTGTTGCGATGGCGCGGTGGGAAGTGGGGAGATTTGAGGTTGTGGAAGAGGAGGGGACGGATGGAGAAGAGAAGAATGGGAAGAAGGTGAAGAAGTGGGAGGCTTGTAAGCCTTGGAGGGGCGCGCGGTGTGCGCTTTATCATGAACATGTTGAGACGGAGAGGTGTGGCGATATATTTCTGGGAAGGTGACGAGTTTGGTGGACATAGATGGGACTGTTGTTATTGGGGTATCATATCGCAATCTCGCACTTCATTGATCGAGCTCGCTCTTTTGCCAACGCCAATCAATATGCTTCCCAATAGCGCTTGAACACTTTCCCTTTATTCTGGGCCTGACATCGTCTCAGAGGACATCACGAAGACTTAAAACTTCCTCATAGCCCGAATTTACCACTGAAAGCCTCAAGTCAAGACAGATGTCTACTTGCCACCTTGAGAGCTACTAAGTCTCGTGGACCGACGCCTTGATACCTCCCCAGTGCCCCTTATATAGCTGCCAGTTTGTAGTGACTCAATCGTAGGCGACGCCTTGATTGGCCTGGCCGCCGACTTCTGTCTCTTGACTTTCTGCGCGACGCCGCGGGTTATAGGCTTCTGTGGTGATTCCTCATCGGTACCTTGTTGGAGCGTTTCGTCGATGACTAGGTTCGCAAAAGTTCTCGCCTTCAATACCTGTAGCTTATGTCAGTCCTGGTTCCAGTAACATGTAATGATAGAGATTATCGGCCCAGAAAGCCTCTTGTCTACTTACGGGTTTGCCGACATCCCACTCTGATATGTCCGAAGGACAGTCCGACAACTCCGAAGGCGAGAAGAACGTGCGTGGGTCCGGTTTGGTTACTTTCAAAGGCGTGACGAATTTGATCTTCAGTTTTGTTGGCGACCTTTCAACGGGATTGAGGTGTTCGGGTATACCGCACACGCCGCAGCACTCTTCCAGAGTCAAGTGTACCTTCTTTGATCTGTTGTTCAAGTTAGCTTATCTGCGCTGGCTGTGAGCCTAGGATGGTGTCAAAAGACGCGACAGTGGAGTTTTGTCCCTCAAGTAGGCTCCTAGCTGCGTGGATGGGGTGTTTGAAGTGCTTTAGTATGGTACATACCTGCTTTCGATCAAGGCACTCTCCATTTTGCCAATGAGATGCTCTCTATCAGCATGACCACGAAATAGCTCATCACGTCGTAAAGTGATAACGCCACCCGTGCTCTTGACATTTGATGCGAACGTAAAGATTTCGGGGTCCTCTTCCACTCTCTCGGTTTCGTATTCTCCATCGTGGATATTCTCTTCCACTGCACCGGCCTCTTCATCGTCGTCGCTCAAGCACAGCGGTGGCAAGGGTGTGGGAGCACGAGCATCAGGGTCGTAGCAGTCGAATTCGCGATAGACTGGATTGGTCAGTCGTCGAAGTATTCGCGAGGTCGTACATTGCACTTACCTCCGGCGTCATCGGTGAAGCCTTCTGAATCCCATTTGTACGTCCCGTCGTAGAACTTGCGTGAGTGCTCGCTGAGGGCTACGTCGTCGGGTAGAGGAGTGTAGTAAGCTGCCAGGCCGACCATGATACTTTACTGATCACCTGTTGTGTTGCTCGGGGCGCCTTCAGTGTATAGAATGAGTAAGAGTTGTGTGATAAAGATGAGATACCGGAGCTGATTGGGACCACGAACGGGGAGGTAGTGATTTTTGTGAGCGTGGTGTTAAGATGGTATACGCGAGCGTGACCTAGAAGTGCTTGAGGTAAGAGCAGCTGGACAGAAGGCAGGAGCCGCACTCACCGCTTAAGGTCAAACAAACGCAGCGAGCCCTTAATGAGAGAGTGCGGCGCCTAAGATGCGGTTAGAGCTTTAGATTTCTGTCCGCGCATGTCTTATGCCCGAATCACTCTTGACAACGATCCCACAGAGAGAACCTCACAAACAGCAATAGAAAGTAATCCTGATTTTGGAGTAATAGTTCTATGGTCTTGAAAACGACTATGAACCGTCGTGAGAATAACGCCGGCTAAAGTAATGCCTACACGAACGCCCTCCGACTTGATGACCTGCTGGCTGGGTGGCTATTGCGGTGTCGACCGAGCCATCTGCCTAGCCAACGGTATCTTACAGATAACTAAACAATACAGGAAATCGAACAGGAAATGGAAGCCCATGCTGGGGTTCCTGATGCGAATGATAGTCAAAGTGACACACCCGACCGTACTCAGGGTTGACCGTTTGGCGAAGGCCGGTGTGCTACATGGCGCTAGCCTGGCCGGCGTGAGTAGACATGTTGGTCAGGGTTTTAGCCATAGACTCTCGAGCTGCCTTCTCCTGTTCCATTTGTGCACGATCAGCCTTAGTAACGCGGGGCTTGCGGACAGTAGAACCACCACGAGAACCTGGACCGCCTCCACGTCCTCTACCACGACCTGACGCGTCGCCTCGTACGGTGCCGCCACGTCCTCGTCCTCGTCCACGTCGAACGGTGCCATCGGCCCTACTCAATGTTAGCTTAGTCTGGTCTGAAGATGTGGTGGTCACGTACCTCTCCACAGTTGGCTTCTCCTCGGTAACGAGTGGGCCACTGTAGACGAAGAAGCCGTCTTTCGCCATGAGCGCTTGTTGTTCCCAAGCTAGCTCGGTGTCGTCAATAAAGTCATCCTCCTTATCGTAATCTTCTTGCTTGCGCTTGCGTCGCTTCTTGCCTCCGTTCTCCTTGGCCGATGTCTCATCGTCCATGCCGCCCATCTCGACGTTGCTTTCGTTTTCCGATAAGTCGACAGACTGGTCGTCGTTTGAGCCCCCACCTGCAGCCCGCTCCAGTGCTGCACCTGCTGCCGTAATCTGACGCTGGCGCTCTTTCCGGGCGGCAATGCGAGGATGTAGAGCAGCGAAGCCGTACTTCCTCTCGACTTCTTGCGCGAAGTTAATGGTGACGTTTTCGCGTCCCTTCAAGTCGAAAGTGAGGTAGATGTTAGTGCCTTGGGTCTCAGAAGTGCCGTTGGCATTGGCAACGGGACCGAATGGCGTTCCCGACAAGAGACCGCTACCGGAAGGCAGCGGTGGTGGGGCCTCTTTCTGGCGGACGGCTTTGGCGGGTGGAGTGGGAGCATTGGATTGTGAGAGGGTACCGGAGTTTGTGGAATTTTCTTTTGCCATTGGGACGGATGCTGGCTTACTGGGCTCGGTGTCAATGTCCATGGGAGTTGGGCCTGATGATGCAGTGGGATACGGCTGAGGCTGGTTCTGAAGAGATGTTTGCGGTTGCTGTTGTTGGAGTTGAGGTGAGTAGTCTTGGGAAGGAAGGACCGACGCTGGTCGCGTGGAGAAGGCGGCAGGTGACACGGGTGCGGATGTGATAGATGCCTGTTGCTGAAGCTTGGCAGGATGTGAATAGAAGGAGTTGCTGGCAGACGGCGGGTCAATGAGACTTGTGATGGAAGGTGAGGCACTCGCACGGTGGTTGATCGGGGGTGAAACAGGCGGCGGAGGGGCGCTTGCTGGAGGCTGCGGTTTTGACTCAAAGGTGTCGCCCCGGATAGGATCATATCTTTGGCCTGAACTAGATGGCCGTGGTGTGGATGGCGCAACGCTGATATGGGAGAGGTTTGGGTTACTGTGGAGAGTCGGCTCGGGATTGCTCAACACACGGGTTGGCTGCGCGACTGCAGGCGGCTGCTCGGCTTGCAAAGCAGGGACGGATTCACTGGGCCCAGTCTGTGGTATGGGTGATAGCTGCACAGGCGGTTTCTCGTCGACAACCTGTGCGACTGGTTGTGCCTGTGCCTCGAGCGATGCCTTTGTCCTCCTCTTCCGTGGCGCAGGCGCGGCATTTGGGTCTTTGGGCTCCGACTTACGGGGCTTTCTCGTCTTCTTTTCTGGCTCTGGTGCACTTGGGTCTTTGGCCTTTGGTTTCGGACCTGGCTTCTTGCGTGGCTGGCCGTTCGCAGTAAGGCCGCGTGGAGCTGGCGATGCATTTGCAGGGGTTGGCGTGCTAGTTCCAACACCAACACCACCTGCAGCTGCGCGGACAGTTGCTGTCGGAGTGCCCTCAGGCGAGTGCGGGGGCGAGCTTAGACTGCCCGGCGAAGATGCATCGTCGGCCATGGCGCCGAACACTAGGTCGATACAATCCCCAGAAGAGCACCGGGGCGCTTCTAGTGCAGACGACAACAGAAAAGGTCGAGATAATTTCCCGATGTGAGCAGCGGAGGCGCGCAGGCAGATTCAGGGCGCTGGTGCTGGCTGAGCGCGTGTGTAGACTCAACACCAGAAAAAGCGTGGATAGCAGACTACTGCAATGGCTTGCGAGAACACCAAAGTCGAGGTGCAGCCGAGAGCCGGCGCGGGAGATGTCTAAAGAGCGTCTGATGCACGGCAAGGAACACCAAGTTTCGATCCCTAACGAGAGTTTGATGGCAGCCGCCGCCGCAAGAGCTGTGTCGATGGAAAGGTAGTTGCAGCGTTAGAAAATTGTACAGGAAAGAGAGAGAACAATAGAGGAAGAGAAAGTGCGAAAGACGGCCTCCGTCGTGCTCGGGGGGTTCAGGGCTTCAAGTAGGCATTCGAGCGATTTGGGACAGCAGCGGGCCAAAGCTTGGGTTACGACGAGCCCTAGAACAGAAAAACAGTTTACGCCAGAGCAGCGACGAGTCCGGGGCTGCCCACTGTGAATGAACCCTGGGTCTATGCCGGCTGCTGTGTCGGGTCTGAGGCGTATCAAACATGACATATTGACACTTCCATGGCCGCCGCCACGGCCTGTACGTGCAGCAACAACCCCTTTGCCGCACCGTCCTGCGTCGACGCTGCTGCGATGCCTAGTTGCCTCTCTTCTCCTCGCAACAAGCAAACAAATCGTGGTCCATCTCTTCCATTGCACCGTGAACATGCGACGTACAAAGAGGCGCATTAGCCGCTGCCTGACGTTGATTGCCCTGCGTATCTGCGCATCGCCACAAAGAGCACCTGCGTTTATTGGGGACGACTTCTGCTCTCTGACAGTGATGCGCAAACATTTGCAGCTTATGCCGTCGTTCACCATGTAGTATTCTATAGATAGTCGTTCTACACGGCTGTCCTGCAGTTCGGTTGCATGTGGCTGATGTGCCGATCTCTTGCAGGGGTCCCTCATAGGTCGGCCTCTCAGGAACGCCTCACCCTGGTCGGCTCTAGATACGCGAACGCTGCCGGCATCACGTTAGGCTCAAAATATAGAAGAATCATGCTTTTGTAACTTTCATGACAGCTCGAGATATACAGAGCCGTCCACCATTCGTGAACGGCGTGTGGAGACTCATAGCCCAGATCCAATCCTCTCCACTAGTACAGAAATCAACTCCAGAAACACCGACACATCATAAAACGCCGATACAGAATGCGCGAAGGGTATGAGTACAGCTGCGCAAGGGCAGATCATCACGCCTTGCTCTTCTTCTTCTTCTTCTTTTCGCCATCCTCCTCATCCCCTGCCTTTCGCTTCTTCTCCTTCTTGGACTTCTTCTCAGAAACCTCGTCGTCGCCCGACTTCTTGGACTTCTTCTTGGACTTCTTCTCCTTGCGCACAGCCTGCTCAGTGGCAGCTGCGGTGACACCATCAGCCATCTCAACATCCTCGGTAGCAGTTGCGGTGGGGTCTTCAATGCCAATGTCAGCCAGAACCGAGTTCATGGCAGCTTGCATGACCGCCGCGTTCTTAGCAGGAGGGGCACCGGATGCGTAAAATTCAATGCGCTCATCGACCTGGCGCTTGAGAGCTTCACCGAACTTGGATGTTGGAGTTTCAGAGAAGTTGTCGATTCTGGAGGCGATAGAGCACTTGTTGGCAAGGAAACGCGAGATCCTTCCCTTTGACTTCTGACCAGTGCGGCCGATGAACGAACTGTGGTAGATCAGACCGTACTTGGGGGTGTTTCCCTTGGTCTTGAGAGCTCTGAAAAGAGCCTTCTCGGCACCGAGAATCTGAACGGTACTGGCAGGGTATTTCGAAAGGTTGGTCAAAGAACCAGCCTTGGAGATAAGACGCGCACCGACGGTGTCACCGATCAGGGCAGCCAGGTTAGGAGCAACCTGGTTCATGCGGCTTCCAAGGTAGTTGCTCAGCTGCTTGCGGTAGGCAGCTAGAGAAGCAGTTCTCTTGGCGAAAGCCATAACAATCTCCATGTCAGCTGCAGACAGATCGCGACCCATGGAGGTCCTCGCAGCGTTGATGATTGCTTGCGCAACACTCTCGTCGTCATCGACGACAGCAGCGAGCTCGTGGAGGTCCTCATCGCTCAAGCGCGACTTGTCGCCAATCTGCAAGACGACCTTGGCATATTGTTCGTTGCTGTTAACAATCTTGGCGAGCTCGGGGAAGTGCCAGCCTGAAGAAGTACCAGATTAGCAGTTGTTCCAAGTCTTCGGACATGGAGGAAAATACCATAGTTCTCCCTCAGCCTCATGCAGAAGGTGTTGAGATCCTTGTCGATCTGGTCGAGCGTTGCGATCGCCTGGATGATGTGGTTGTCCTGCTTCTGAACGCTGCGCTGGGAGTCAGTATACATGTCGCGCGCATTTCATCCGGAGACATACCTGAACTT